TGATGTGTGCACATGTACATTGGGGAAGATATACAGTGTACACTTGACATGTTTCACTTTATATTGTCTTCATTCTAGGGCAACAAAAGAGAAACATCGCCAGCTTTAGGTTAGTAAAGGAAATTTGAATACTTCAAATGTAGATATAAACTTGAAAACTCTTTTTACTAGCCTAAGGTAATAATGAAATTTCTAGTTTCTTTGTTAAGTGCTGGACATCAATTTCATTTAAACAGCAAAGACCAGAAGGAAAAGTCTGAGAACAGGAGCAAGTTCTGATGAAGTAAGTACTTTATGGTGATCTGTAACAGAATGTACAATGTAGCTTATGATACCAGCAAATTTTATTTTATTTAATCATATTTTGTTTTACTTTGTTTCTTCCTTTTTTAAAGTAATGCTCAATCTTCCATACAGTGCTACAAAATAATTAGTCCTTTTTTTAGGCCAGAACTTTGCTGGATGTCTCTTTAGGTATACATGTATGTTATAATGTAGCTACAGTCGAGGCCCACTATCTTCAACTTTGATATCTGGAAACCTCAAACGCAAATAGTTAATTCCTGTAGATGCATTTTTTCAGTGATTTACTCATCAGCTCTGTATCTCAAAATATTTTTTCATATGCCCCAAGAGAGTTTGTAGTAGCAGGGTTCAGCAGTATAACATTATATAGAATTTGAGTGCATTTTGAGATTGTTAATGTACAACTCATGATGTATGGTAGTAACTGTCTTTATGTGTTATTCCACAGCAACCCAGCAGCCCTGATGGAGGTAACATCGTGTAGATTTATTTCATTCATTATTCATTGTAGTGGTCACTACCCCACTATTAACTAGATTTAGTTAATGCCATTGTTTGAAAGCATTTAATCCTATGGAGCATGAAAGAATGTTGGTCTGTGAACTCTCTGGATGTTTGCATTTATCAGTGTGAAGGAAATCTACGAGTTGGTTCTTTTACATGTGAAGTACTTGTAATCTCATTTGTTTTTCTTCTACAAAGGAAAATCAAAGAAAAGAAAGAGATCCCCCTCGCCTGAACAGAAGAAGAAAAAGAAACTGTGAGTTGACTGTTGTACACTGTATAGAAAAACATCACCACAAAATACAGTGGCCAATTTACTATCATTCTCAAAAATGGCTACGCTGCTTTCTATCTATTCTGTTATAGATAGTGAGTACTCACAGTGTGCAGTTGTTGACAAAATGGCAGGAGCTCCTTTCCATTTGTCTGAAGAGCAGTGAGATAAAGTTTTGAGTTACTGGTAGATTTATACTAAAACAATTAGATTACATGATATTGGCCATCTCTATGCATGATAGTCATGCGATAGAAATCTCAAGTTCACAATCTAATCGTTAAATACATGTAGACACACTTGTGAGAGTTTTTTAAACTCTGAAAAACCTCATGAAAAAATATTCAGCTATGGCTCATCTTCCACAACATTTTGTGTTCATTCTAAGCACCCACTCATGTTTCTATTGTTCAACAGACACAAAGAAACTGTGTTCTATTTCTTAAACAACAACGAATTTTTTCTAATAGGCCTGGACCAGGAAATCCCAAGAAAAAAACTGGTAAAGAAGAGGATAATGACAGGTGCAATTAGAACTTTTCAATATGATTTCACTTGGTTTGTGGTTGTAGTTGTAATAAGCTCATAATTCACTTTTAATTAACTTGCATTAAACAGTTCCTTTTCTGTTTTCAGTGACGATGCTACCAAAGATCTACCTGATCCATCGCCAATACCTAATGTAAGGATCAAAACCTTTGGAAGTATAATTGTTTTGCCCAGTTTGAGGCACGTTTTGCACATACAATGGTATATAGCAAAGAGCTCAATACAACTCACATATATAGGATAGTGGGGCTTGATCTTGTTTGAATAAAAATAATTTTATTTAATTTTTTCCCCATAGGTTGAAGAAGTCTCTGCTTCTACTGCTTCAGGTAATTAACAGAAGATCCAGTTTTGCTGCATGACTTTCATAAAGGACAATAACTCATAACACCTCTAAACAGAACTTAATGGCTGATTCATTTGATTTTGGCTTGATGTTACAGTTTGATCGTTACTGTTAAGGGACACACTTTGGAAAGAAGCTAAGGGCATAATTTAATTATAATTGTTAATGCAAGGCCAGAATGCTGCTCTTGTGATATGTCACCTTCAACATTGTAAATTAACATGGTCAATTTAAGATTAGTTATTACACCTAATCGTACCTTTCTGGTATGCTTTGGCGGCATATCAGGCGATTTGGTCGAGCCATAGTTCGTGCTTTGGTGAGAAATGGTCTAGCCAAAACCAAACAAGCCTGATACACTATGCTGCCGAAGCGTACCAAACAGGTACAATGAAGTATTTACCATACCCAAATTGAGCCAAGTGATCCTGATATCATAGCCATATCAGATCAGTTACTTGATATCGCAGGATATCAGGACAGTAGACATGGCTTCTGATTGGCTGACTGTGGATTTGGGTGTGGTAATTAAAGTAACTACAAGTACTACATGTACAGTATATGGAATCAAAAGTTTGGAGGTTACAGTGGACTGTAACTTGATATTCATGGAAATTAAAATCCTGAAAGTAGGAAAGGAAACTTCATAGTAATCCCAATGTCTTGAAAAATTCACCAGAATTGAATGATGTTTCAACTAGAAGCATGTTTTTGATGCTCCAGCAAAAACAGCATACGAGTTGAATCACAAATTGTCCAGCAGTAAATGACCTTTGTTGCATCTTTGGTTTACAAAATTTAATGCAGGTGCAAAGGGTAAGGAAGATTTGCAACCAATGAAGGGGACCTCACTGACAGACATATCTGATTCAGGTAAAACAAACTGCACAATCGCTATTTGTTAGCAAGCCTTAGCAGCGTTCCTAAAAAAGATGTCCCTTTATTTACCGTAATTCTTTCTGTTGGAAAGAGCAACATAGTGGCTACAAATACGCTGATGTATGGTGTAAAAACTGAGAAAAATAATTTCTAGCTCTAAGAACAGCATTCTGCATACTGGATTTAGCCAATAAGACTTTCATTTCAGCTGCCTGTAAATATACAATGTACATGTGACTTTTGAATTTTTAGCTAATTAGCGATGCTGTGATTGGATAACTCTGTAATACTGTTATGTGGAATCGTTCTTTAAGTCAAAGTTACCTTACTGTATGAAGTGTTGTTTGTGCACTCTGCATGTATGCACCTCAGACCTATTTTGATGATGGCAATTTATTGTTATTTTTTTCCAGGAAAACCAGAAGGCACTGATGGGGAGGAAATGGAGACTAGCAGTCACATGGATACACAGGTATCCCATTCAGCCTCGAGCTTGTCAATTTTTGTTAGATTATTGTTATATTTTTTGGTCTCCCATTTTCTGTGAAGGGAACAAGCAGGTACCACACTCAGCCTGTCATACCTTTTTTAACTGACGGATTAGTTAACATGTATGATATATCTCTTGCTGATCAAATTGTGGGTCAGCTTCACGTTTGTTTGATGTTCAAGTGGTTGTCAAAACTTCATTATGATTTTATCTCGCTCAAAGGACCAACCAGAGGACAGTACAGAGCAGTCAGCACCAGCCTCGCCTTCATCCAGCCAGACTAAAGATGGATTGTTCAAAGAACCACTCATCATGCCAGACAGTGAACCTCATGATGAAAACCTGACAGAACAGACACATCATATCATAATCCCTAGTTATGCCTCCTGGTTTGACTACAACAGGTACAGTACTGCAAAATAATGAAAATGAGCCTCCCACCCTCCCCTCCCATGATATTGTAATGCCTTGACTGGAAGTTGTTGTCGCCCGCGCACGTTACATTTGGTGTCAGAAGTGGGATTCGAACCACGACCAAAGTCAGCTGAAGTTCAGGTCAGATCGTTTTGTTTTGGTGTAGATAGTTGTCCTGTGAACGGCTGTTGTGTGGTGGTGTAGTAAAGCTGCACGACGAGATATTTTGACTTTTAGTGGCGTGCTGGTTGCTACGAAGCACTTTATGTGGTAGTTGCCGTTGTTTTGGTCGTTAAAAATATAT